GGGTTTTTCAATATTAAAACTACCTTTTCCGATGGATTTTTGAGGTGCATCTGTAGTTCTACATATATGGTTGCAACCTTATATGAACTTTGTCCAAATGTTTATGTTTACATTTTTTATTTTTTAATATTATTTCAAAAATATCTCCAAGCACAAATGTTTTAAAATTTTAATTTGTTTACTATTTTTTTACCTCATTTTGATATGTTTTGTTTAATTTTACTTTATACATATATTTTCTATTTTTTAGATTTTTTTTGTATTTTTATAATTTATTTAACTTTTTTTTTTGCTGAATCAATACTTGGGCCTAATCGAACCGAGTTACTTGCACTCGAGGCAAGTACTCGGATTGTGCATAGTCCGAGTGCTCACCCCGAGGAGTGGTTTCAAGCACTGGCTTTGAGCACTTATGGCTTGTATATCGAGTCCCCAATGTCTCTTTTTTTTCTTTTTTTCTTTTTTTCTTTTTTAACAATATTCAGAAGCTTTTATTGATAAATTCATGTCCTCTTTCTCTCTCATGTGCGACAAAGCCTCTCCTCTTTCTATACTTTCTCATACTGTAGTATCTCTCTCTTTAATTCTTAGCACATGGGCATAAACATTGAAACAGCTTTGAATTATTTTGGCCAGAGTCCATCACCACTATTATTGCCTTCTCTCTCTCTTATATCTTTACAGTCAATCACCACTGCCTTCTCTACCACTTGTATTATGCTTTCTCTCACTCTCTTTTTGTATGGGCAGTATTTCTAATTTGAAAAGATACTAGGTATTTTAAAATAATATCTTTCCAAAACTTAATTTTTTGTAAAGTGTAATGGTGCATTTATGTAGAGCTGTGTTGAAGAATAGAAAATAGGAAGTTATGTTTAACTATAGGAACTAATGGAAAAAAAAAAGGAAAAGTTTATATGAGGTTGCAACCTTAAAATGTAGAACTACAGATGCACCTCAAATATCCATTGGAAAATGTTGTTTTGATATTGAAAAACCTTCTAATTGTTCATCTTGACGTTGAGATATATGACCACGAAAAAAGAAAGGATTTTGAGTACCAGAAATGATGCATCTTACAACACATTTCCTAGACCGACAATTTTTAAGATTTTCATATATTTATAGATCTAATTGATTTTAATTATTTTTGAAATTTAAAATTTTATAATTAGAAATGAAAATAGATTTTGAAATAATATTAAAAATTTTTTTACATCAAAATTATATGTTATATGTATGATAAAATTTGGCGGTGCACCTTAAATAGATTGTTTAAGGTTGCAACCTTAGAAAAACCACACCTAAAAAAAAAAAAGGCTAACCTATATTACCGTTGTTACATCACGATAACTTTTAAAGTGGTAAAACAAAGACTTTAGAGAGAGAAAATGAGTAAGGAGAGAAAACAATATTCTTTTTAAATAAACACAAGAACAATAATTCAAACTACTAAAGTCTAAAACTGTATTTATATTTGAAATTATTAAACATTTTACTAAAGTGAGAATTGATTTTTAATTTTGTAATTCCTTTAA